CTTAATGGATAAGAATAAGACTGATTTTTTATTAATGACAGTATACCCGGGCCTCAGGTTAATATCATTCTATTTAAAATAAGACTTGGATGGGTAGACATTTTGGCTCACCTTGTGCACGATTATAGATTCTGGTTAAGATTAAGGTCCAGACTATCAATTTATATGTTATCTTTCGCTCGTGAGAGACTCTACTACTCTTGTATATGTAGAGAATGGAATCTTGCTTACAACATATCACCTGTGTATATATAAGACTAATATACATATGTGTACAACGACTATAAGTAGCATGTGAACAGCTCTTCGGGGTATTTGCTGACTTTAAATACGCACCTTCATTGGAAGAAGTCGGTAGAATAACTGGGTCAGGTAGTTTAAACCGTACACGTTTAGTAAAAACAATCAACTCTGAGAACTTCAAATTGAATGGTGGAAACGATGGTTGGTATATTTTTCCTTCGAACTCTAGCTTTATGTTCCTTAAGTTGCATCTTAAGGGTTCATGCTACCATGAACGTTACAATTCTTCACACCAATGATATCCACGCACGGATGGAGGAATTCAGCAGAAATGGCAGCCCTTGTAAACCAGACGAAAAGGCTAGGAATGAATGCTATGGTGGTGTTGCCAGAAGATTCACAAAGATAAAAGAGATACGTCAAATGGACGAAAACGTTCTTTTGTTGGATGCTGGAGACCAGTTTCTGGGGACAGTTTGGTTTCACGCATTCGATGGTCTCGCCAACGCACAGTTTATGAATATGATGGCATACGATACAATGGTAAGTCAAAGTCAGTTCATTTGAATCAGACAGAAACTCTCAAAACATGATGTACGATATAAATACTAGTATTATCTTTATTCAAAAGGCTCAGGAGCCCTCAGGCTTGATAAGGCAATTGTTAGTTTGGTCCCGCAAGACCAAGCGGCGAAAAACTCAAGATGTCAGGGGCATATCCGAACGTCAACAGAGGTTTTTGAATAAAATAATTATAAGTTAATATGATTATATTGAAAAAGCTAAATGACGATTTAATGTTATATTTTGAAAAATGCTTATAGAATGCAATATCGAAATCTCATGCGACCTTTATCCCCTTTACCAAGAAGCCACAGATATGCTTTGCTTACTCAAACAATGTTTACATAGTGTTCCGTATGTTGATATCACAACAGGACCCATCAGAACAATGTGTAAGGAGTGAGGGGTCAGAAACCGTGGTGAGAGGTCAGATACCGTGCTATTACTATCAACGATCACTCGGCTCCTGTCAGTAAGAACGCAGTGAAAATCGAGCGATTACAGTCAGAAATTATGCTCACTCGTAAACAGACTGCCGCTGACTAGAACATTCCATAAACAAAGCCAGGCTCATTAAATACCGATTCATGCCAATAAATTAAACAGAACTGTTTGTATCTTCAAGATATTAGGCACATAACAGGAATTTACAAAATATCTGGATACCTGCTTGGGAGGATGGAAACCCCATCATTTGTATACTGTACTCATGGTAATGTTCGCGTGCGATTTAATTTCGCTTTGTTCGCGAATGTAGTAAAATCGCGAACATTTATCGTCGCGAAATTTGTCTTAAATCCCCGGGGATTTGACCCGGGCCTTTTGATATGTTTCGTTCGGTGTGAAACTTTTCTTCCAGTGTTGTTGGGCGAAGGCCTAAAATCATTTTGAATTGGCTTATTAGGCCAACAAAGGCAAGAACTGTTGACGACAATGATATCCTACAAATTGAAGTTGAAAAAGCCATTCAAAAATATTCAAATAAATGCCCTAAACGTGGGAAATACAAACATTATTCGGATTCTGAACGGGCTAAAATAGCCCGCATTGATTCACGGCAATCGGAAAAAATTCAGCTTGTGCAATCTGCGAAATGTCAACTCAAATCCGCGAAATTAAATAGCCGCGAAATTGCAATTTTGAAAAATCGCGAAATTTTATAGCGTCGAAATTTACCCGGAGTACAGTATTTTCACGTATACAAAATATGAGTTCCTGTGGTAAACGAAAGTTGACTTTAAAACATAGTTATCCATTATGTTTTAAGTACCCTTATCCGTGTCCTATAATTACATTCTCTTCGACGGTTTTTACTATTAACCTTTACTCAAATGAGACAAAAGTAACCTCATTTCCTACTCCGAAATATAAAATGTAACCCCGTCAACAAAACACAATTAAGTAAACAATTTTACCGCACTATTATTCAATAGATTCATAAGCTAAGGAAAACTTACCTTAACAATTTTTCTAGAGTCTTGGGAATCATGAATTTGATGCTGATATAGATGGCCTGGTTGATTTCCTTGACAACACCACATTCCCCGTGTTAGCGTGCAATGTCGATGACAGTGAGGAACCAAGGATGCAAGGGAAGTTTAAGAAAAGCACAGTTATTGAAGTCCAAGGGCAGAAGATAGGAATTATCGGCTATCTCATATCGTCAATGCCAGAACTCTCTCTTAAGTTGGGTAGGTTGGTTTTAATAACAGCAGGTTTGTGATATATATGTTAGGTACTAATGAAATATATCTAAAAACTGTGACATTTAAAGAAGACGAGAAGAAATATAATACTAGATCGAGGCCTGAGACTAATACGTGTGAGGCTATATACGTTTTAGGCATTAACGTTCAAATCTGAAGCTAGCTTTTTTGAAATACTATTTAGTTTTCTTCTTTGTCTATGTATTATTCATTAAAACCTATAAAAACGCTAATGCAAGATGAAACATCACATGCCTTGTTTAATTTGTTGTCATGAACAGGTCTTTTGACATAATTTAATATATCAATTCACTTAAGTCATATTATTACCTCGCATTCGTTTATTATCTCATATACGTTCATCTTGAAAGCTTGCATCAAGCAACACAATTTTCTTCCCGTTTAAAACGTATAATATTACACATGTAAAGTACATATCGAAAATCAATTTTTAGCTAAACCATCTTTCAAAATTGAGATTTTCCAT